TGCTTATACCCACAGCTGGTTAAGAACCATTGCACTGGGTAAAAATTCTGATTCTGCAGTCTGTGTCATCTATGGGATGTTGAGTTAAGCTCAACATCAGTTAGGGATAGCTAACTGAAAACATGATATAGTTCAAATAATTTGTCTCACCTTTGCTCTCATGGTACCCTCTGCTTTGTGTTGTTCCAGCAACCCACTGCACTGTAGGGTGTATTTGGTTTGGTTTTTTGCCTGTGTGCTTTTTTTCCCTTCCCCAGACTAAGTTTCTCATGGGCAGTGCTGGACATTGTCTATTTCTATATCAAAGATCTCAAACATAGTTATGCAGCCACCATTTTCTTTCCATCTCTGAGTTTGACTATTCTAATTACCTCATATAAGTGGAATCATACTGTATTTGTCCTTTTGTGATTGGCTTATTTCACTTAACATAATGTCTTTGAGGTTTATCGATTTCATAGTACATGTCAGAATTTCCTTCCTTTTAAAGACTGAATAATATTCCTTTGAATGTATACCACATTAGTTTATCCATTTATTCATCAGTTAAACATTTGGGTTGCTTACACTTTTTGGCTATTGTGAATAATACTGCTGTGAACATGGATGTACAAATACCTCTTCGAGACCTTTCTTTCAGTTCTTTTGGGTGTTATACCCAGAAGTGGAATTGCTGGATTTGGTAGTTCTATGTTTCATTTTTTGAGGAACTGTTTTCTCCAGTGGCTGCACCATTTTACATCACCAACAGTGTGCAAGGGTTGCAGTTTCTTTGCACAAGTCTTTTCTTTCATGAGGTCCAGTATGTCTCTTCTTTCACTGCCTGTGTCTTTGGTGTTATATCCAAATCCAATCCAGTGTTGTGAAGCTTTTGCTCTATATTTCAGTAGTTTCATAGTTTTGGCTTTTACATTCAGATCTTTGATCTGTATTGAGTAGATTTTTGTATATGGTGTTAGGAGAAAGTCCAGCATCATTCCTTTGCATGTGGATGCACATCTAGTTTTTCCAGCACCATTTGTTGAAGAGTACTGCTATTCTTAATATGTATATTTTATTGAATGTATAGAGTTCTGGGCACTTTATATGCATTATGTCGTATAATCTTCATAACAGCTACATGAAGAATGTGTTTTCCCCACTTACACATGAGGAAGCTGAAGTTTACAAAGGTTAAGTAACTTACTTGCTCAAAGTTACTTAGCTTATAAGCGGCAGAACCTGCATTTGTGTCCAGTTTAGTCTTAAGTTAATCACTACACTCTATTCTGGTATATTACGTACTTCTCTGATACATAGAGTTATTCCTTTATGACAAGTCTTATGTGAAATGGTGGACATAAACACTGATACTGTAAATTAAAAGTTAAGTGCTTTGGAAATAAGAAATAGAAGTACAGATCATTTGTTCACAAACTGGCATTTGTCTCAACATATTTTACTATACTTTAAAGTTAGATGAGCTCATTAATGATATCTTTTGGTTTCTAGAGCAATGTTGATCCCAGAGATGATGTATTTGGATACCCTCAACAGTTTGAAGACAAACCAGCATTAAGTAAAACAGAAGATAGGAAAGAGTACAATATTGGTGTCCTCAGACACCTTCAGGTCATCTTTGGTCATTTAGCTGCTTCTCGACTACAGTACTATGTGCCCAGAGGATTTTGGAAACAGTTCAGGTAAACTATGGATGGATAGTTATAGGGATACTGCTTAAACCTTTATGAGCATCTCAATACACCAATGTTAAATTTCTAAAACCTATGTTGGAAGACACCTTTATGTTTAACTTCGTAGTTAGGTTTGTCTTGTCTCCAAAGGAGGTAGAGTATCACAGTAAGAAGCAACATTCTTTAGTCTCTTAAGATGTTAAGTCTGTTAAGATGTTTAGTCTCTTAAGATGTTTTATTTTGAACACTTCTAATATATACATAGTAGGGAGGAAGAGTATTAGCCCTTATGTATTCATCACTCTATTTTAACAGTAGTCAATACATGACCAGTCTTAATCTACATTCCTATCTACTTCTTCCCCAATTGTTCTGAAGCAAATCTCAAATACATAGTTTCATCCCTAAACATTTCACTATGTATCGCTAAATTTTTTTAACTTAAACATGATACTATTACATCTTTTTAAAATTCCTTAATATCCTTGTCAGTGTTAAAATTTACCCAGTTACCTCATGATTGTTTTTTACTGTGTATTTTTTGAAATCATGATCCAAATGAAGTCCATATATTGCAGATATTGATACAACTCTTTAGTCTCTTCTAATTTTTTTTCACTCTTGAAATTATTTGGGGGGGAGCTGGGAAAACGTGGTTAACCCTGTAAATTTTTCCATCTAGAGTTTATTGATGGGATCCTTAACGGTATTTTCTGTTTTCCTCAGTCCCCTGTATTTCCTTTGAATAAGTAGTGAGTTCTAGAGGCTTGATCAGATTTGGGTGTTAGTTTTCTGGAAATGGACAGGCAAGGCTACTTCATAGGTGGTAACTATTACCTCAGTGAGAAGTACATAATATGTCTCTCTTCTTATGGTAACAACCATTGATCGTCATTGCCTAAATGCAGCATTTCATTGGTGTTACAAAATGGCAACATTCTAATTTTATCATCCTTTAATTTATTAGCTAGAATAGATCTATAATGGAAAACTTCCCTATGCCAACTGTCTATTGTAATATATAATTTAATAGGAAAGGTGGGCTAAATACCTTGGGGCTTTTTTTTTTTTTTAATTAAAAAATCTTCAGTTATATCTTGATCTTGTTTCTCTGGCTTCATTTATTTCACCTTTTTAAAAAATCATTGCCTATTATGTCATGCACTGTGCTATAATACCATAGTACAACCACGTATCTACTGTGTATGAAAAGGCTGTAATCCTTCATAGCAGTGGGTTTTTTAAATAATACTTCTTAGAATCCCTTCAAGGTATCTCCCAGACAGCTGAGAGAGAGCAGGGGAAGCAAAGGGTCACCTGACACTGCCATTCTGGTCCACCTTCCCTGCTTCAATTAGAGCAGCTCCCCTTTTTCCCTGCAAGGATACTGCTTAGATTTCTTTTGAAACCACTGCTTTGTAGTACAATGACTTCCCTATGACTCACTATATAAATTCCTCCGATTCCTCTATCTAGGCCCCCTACTTAATCCATACTTACTGGCTTGCACGCAGCACCCAGCTCTACTTTTGCTCTTTTCAATCCCATCACCTGGCACACCCCTTCTCTTCCTCTGTGACTATTCCAGTTCTCTTTCCTTCTCCAGCTTGTCCTGTCTCTGCCATAAGGCTTTTAGTATTTCTGTTCTTCCTCTTCCAAATTACTCTCAAGCTTTTTGAGCTTTTCTCTGAAAATTTGTCATTCAATTACATATAGTTTTCTCTTTTCTTATATTGCATTTTTGACTTCTCAGTTACTCTCTATGCTAGTGGAGCTCGCATAATCATCTAGACCAACACTTTTGGATTATCCACACTTTAGACATGTAATATACTCTTGATACCTGTGGGTTTAATATACTCTTGATACATGTGGGTTAGTTAACCACATTTCCTAGCTGCAGTTTTTAATGTTGAAAAATTTCAAACCAACAGAAAAGTTGAAGTAGTATAATTACCACTTTTGTTATATACTCTTTACCTAGGTTTACCAGTTGTTAACATTTTGCCATATTTGCTTGTTATACTTGGTTTTTGTTTTTTGTTTTTTCTAATCAAATTGATAGTAAATTGCAAATAAGACACTATACATGCTTGAACATGTATCCTCTAAGAATAAGTTTTCCTACTTAATATTTAATACAATTATCACATCTGTGAAATTTTAATATTGATTTAATAATGTCTAATATTCTAATAATCATCAGTGTGTATTCCAATTTCCCCAAAATATTCTTTATAACTTTTTCCCCAATTCCAGACTGGTATCCTAGAAGGAATCACAAGAATTTGGTTGTTACTGCTTTAGTCATCTCTAAAATAATCTCCCTAACTTTTCATGTCCTTAATGGTAATGGCGTTTTTGAAGAATCTAGGCCAGTTGTCTTACAGCGTGTGTCTGACTTCCTTGATCTGTATGATTATCTCCCCATGATTAGATTCAGGTTAAACTTTCTGGCAAGGAAACTGTAGGTGATGTTACTATATGCTTCTCATTGCATTGCGTTGCGAGGCATATAGTATCAGTTTACCTGATTATTGGTGGTATTAGTTTTGATCCCTTGGTGTCTTAACAGATCTCTCCATTATAAAGGTACCTTTTAACAAATGATAATATATTTGATTTTAAACTTACTATATGCAAATTTAACAGCTGAAAAAGAAGTGAGATGAGATTTTTTGTTGCGTAGTAAAAGTTAACAGAAGGATTTATTAAAAGACCGTTTGTTCCTCTAGCATACTTAAAATACATTTGTCATATCTCACTTAAAATGAATTTACTTATATTCTCTATATGACTCTATAAATAAAAAACTGGATGTCATTGATAGTTTCTAGCAGTGCCTAGGTTTTATTAGTATCATTTCGCATATTGTGGTACACACAATTGATAGTTTGTTTTCTTGGGATTGATTTGCCTAATTTAAGTGTTTGTAACCTGAAATTTAGGCAAAATGAAAGAAATAGTAGTAATTACAACATCTACATAAAAGTGAGATCAACCACCCCATTTTAATTGCATCTTCAGTTGGATTCAAAATGCATGTGTATACCATATTACCTACAGCAACCATCCTTCTTGGAGCCAAACTGTCCATCAGCCACACCAGTCGTTTGATGGTATTTCTTCCTTACTGAACTACCACTTTGACTATGAGTCTCACTTTCTCTCCCTCAGCACCTGAAACATAAAGAGTGGTTGGTTTTTTTCTACTTCCTCACGTAGCTGAAGAATAAAATTGCATTTTACATACTGTCATTTGCTGTTGTATTGCTTTTTTCCTGAAAATATATATTGTATATGTTGTTCTCAGAGTGTTGCACATTACATATTTTTACTCCATTCATTTCTTAGGCTTTGGGGTGAGCCTGTTAACCTGCGTGAACAACATGATGCTTTAGAATTTTTTAATTCATTGGTGGATAGTTTAGATGAAGCTTTGAAAGCCTTGGGACATCCAGCTATGCTAAGTAAAGTCTTAGGAGGTTCCTTTGCTGATCAGAAGATTTGCCAAGGCTGCCCACATAGGTAGGTGCTAACGTACTGTTTATTTTTACTAGTAGTTTTGTACAAAAGTGGAGTATGAGTATTCTACCGAAATTATTAAATACCTGAGACTGGATGAGTTACATACTGTGCATACCTTACTACTGTGGGGTTTTGTTTGTTTTTGTCAGATTACATTAGTAGATTCCTTTAACTCTACCTAAGCTCTTACTATTTCATACTTCTGCATGCTTTTATGTATGATCATGCCTAGGAAAATAAAATGGCATTTTGCATATAGCTACAGTGGTTAATTATAAATTTGCTCTCTTAGAATTAAAATATCTATAATGTTAAATACATTAAGTTTAGACGATAACAGACATGGAGCACTGTTTCCTATACAAATGAAATACTGACTTTTTGAAAATGCATTGATTGTCACCGTCTTTAAGGTATGTTTTCCACACAGAACATTTACAGCAAGAGTTGGCTAAACAAATTGGTTTTTGCTTAAAAGGGAAGTTGTTTGATTAAGGGCTGTTACTGAGAATACTTAAATAACTGTTAGAGTTCGTTACTGATAAATACTTGTTTATCTCTATTATATGGAAGTTTTACTTTGGAACGTCTCTTGTATGTTGTCAATGTTAGTTTGAAATCTCTTCTCACCAAAATATCATAAGATAGTATTTTCTACAAGTCCAAAACAGCATTATATATAGTCATAGGTTATGTGTGTATATGGTTGGTGGAGGTGCTTCATTTTTTAACATAGGGAAGTGATAGTGGGAAAAGCAATACTATATAAATGTTAAACCATTCAGTCCGAATGAGGCCATAAAATTATTCACATAGCTGGGACAACTTTTGATCCTTTTGAAAGACCTTTTGCATTAGGTGAACAATAAAACTGTCACTTTAACCTCTTGTTTTCAATTACTGGTAAAAAAAAAATTAGTATCATCTATTCTTGTCAGTCTTCTAGGTTTGTTCTAGACAGTTTTCAAAATTATTTGGAAATTACTGGTTTTCTTTGCCAAGTGAAAATGTCCAGAGAACATGATCTTAAAGATCCCTAAAGTTCAAATACCTACTGCACAATTAAACTACTACTGTTATATGCCAGAAGGTTACATAAAGAGCCCTAAGACAGTCTGTTTTAGGGTATTTGTCCAGAACATGGGTTAACAAACTATGGACCATAGGTCAAATCCAGCCCTGCATCTGCTTTTATTAAGTTATATTGGCACATTCCCACTCTCTTACCTACTGTCTGACTGCTTTAGTTATAACAGCAGAGTTCAGTAGTTGCCACAGGAACCTCATGGCCCAAAAAGACCATGTAATATTTACTATCTAGCCTTTTATAGAAAAACTTTGCCAACTTTGCATCTTAGAATGTCCTAGTTTTTAACTGGAATCATAAAATCTAACTTTTCTGTGGGTTCCCCAGTTATAGTAGCAACTTGCTTAATACTTCATATTCAATTCATGTCACTTATAAATGCCTTTATTCCTTAAATTGAAAAGCCCTAAACATGAAGGACTGTCCTAAACATTGACTATCACATAGTGCTTTAAACAGGGTAGGTACTCAAGATATTTGTTGAATGAATGAATTTAGTGATTGAGAATGAATCCCCCACATCCCATGTTCTAAATTTATGAATATATCTCATCAGAAATCTGAAAATTCCTTCAGTAGAAAATTGCCACGAGTTGGGATTCTGGCCCCTATTCAGATTGCTTATCCCCTATTCATTTGTGTGTTCAAACTTGTACTTTAGTAAGGTTTCCATTACAGAAGAGGAGAAACATTTAAAAATTCAGCTCATTAATAATTTAAAATACCCTTTTCAGAACTTGATGAATTCATGCTTTGGCCTTGGCATGAATTACTATCTAAACAGATGACGGTGGAATCGGTATGGTACACCATGAAGCAGTTGCACTGTGAAACCAGACAGGCCTGGCTTCATAACACCATTTTCCTAGTAATCTTGACCAAATTAACATTCTGAACCCCACTTCTCTCATCTCTGACGTGGAGATGGTGGCATTTCTCTAGCAGGTTTGTTGTGAAGGTAAAGAACCTGTTTTATGTAGTGTGTAAACAATCTAATGTCATGGCCAGGAGAGGGTAAGTCACCCATAAATAACTGTCATTTATCGGTAACATTCTATGACTTACAAGTTATGGGTTATATTACAAATACTGCAAAAGTAGTTTTCATTGAGTCCATAACTAAATATGATGTTTAGAAAACTAAGGAATAAATTCTCTTTAATCATTTCTTAAATAATATCTTCAGATACGAGTGTGAAGAATCTTTTACGACTTTGAATGTAGACATTAGAAATCACCAAAATCTTCTTGATTCTTTGGAACAATATGTCAAAGGAGATTTATTAGAAGGTGCAAATGCTTATCATTGTGAAAAATGCAATAAAAAGGTATGGATTGCCCTATTTTGTTTAAAATAATTATGATTACATGTAATGGGTTTGGGAAAAGCTGATTGTTTTTCTTTGTTCTCAAAATTCACCCTCTTTATTCCCTACCCTGCTTTGTGTTACAGTGGTAGCGAAGAGGTAGTTAAGATAACTGACTTAAAGGTTTGTCAGTGAAAGATGATTAAGAGAAAGTGCCAGAAGGGCTGGGGAAAACAGGTGAAGATAAGAGTGAATCACTTTAGAAGTCATAATAGCTTAATACTACATTCTCTTATCTGAGTTACACAGACAGTTTTCCAACTAAACTGCTATTGAAATCCTCAAAGCTACAGAGCTGATGGAGGAATGCATTTCTCCTCTCATGTCCAGAGTTACTAGTCAAGACCAGGAGGTCTGAAACCATTCATTTATTTAGCCACAAAAGAGCTCTTCTACCACCTGTGTTTTTAAACTACTTGAATCAGATTTTTAGACTAACCTGGTTAGTTTTTTGTCTGCGGGCACTTAACTCTTTGGAAGAGACAATTTACATATACATGTGATAAATAATGTGTATTTTTTCTGGGCTCCCAAGCCCTCTGACCTCTGAGTCACCTGTGTTGTTTTGACCTTACATACCACTTAGAGAGGTATTAAAGTCTAGAGGTTGAGATCATGAGCTGTAAAGCCATACTGCCTGCCACTCACAGCTCCAAGAATTGAGGCAAGTTACTTAATCTCTCTGCTACTCGTAATTCCATCCTTAAGATTCAGTAGTAAACATGTTACTACTTGGGCAGCACTTAGCATATAACTTCCGTACCTAATTGCCCAGTAAGTATTAGTTGCTGTTACCTTTCTATAGTTTGCTCACAGCAAACCACACCTTCATTAAAATAACAGTAAATATCAAACAAGTAGTAATGGTTAGCTAATAGTGACAGTACAGAAACCAGGCAGTGAATGTCTGTGTCACTGATGGTTGCAATTTATAACAAATGGCATCAGCTATTTCCATATTAGATTTAGTTCACATTTTTTAAAATATCACCTGACAGAATTGCTCTGATTATGTTCATTATCATACATTTGTTTACACTTAAAATTTCAGATTAATCTTGAGAACTGAATAATAGAGTTTTAAAGTTTTGGGAGGTTTTGCAATAGATTGTAAGAGAACGTCTAGTAATTTGCTCTGTTTATTTTAGGTTGATACCGTAAAGCGCTTGCTTATTAAAAAATTACCTCCTGTGCTTGCTATCCAACTAAAACGATTTGACTACGACTGGGAAAGAGAATGTGCAATCAAGTTTAATGATTACTTTGAATTTCCTCGAGAGCTTGACATGGAACCTTACACAGTTGCAGGTGTTGCAAAGCTGGAAGGAGATAACGTAAACCCAGAGAGTCAGTTGATACAACAGAATGAGCAGTCTGACAGTGAGACAGCAGGAAGCACGAAATACAGACTCGTAGGGGTGCTTGTACACAGTGGACAAGCAAGCGGGGGACATTATTATTCTTATATCATTCAAAGGAATGGAGGCGATGGTGAGAGAAATCGCTGGTATAAATTTGATGATGGAGATGTAACAGAGTGTAAAATGGATGACGATGAAGAAATGAAAAACCAGTGTTTTGGTGGAGAGTACATGGGAGAAGTATTCGATCACATGATGAAGCGTATGTCATACAGGCGCCAGAAAAGGTGGTGGAATGCTTATATACTTTTTTATGAACGATTGGACACAATAGACCAAGGTGATGAGTTGATAAGATACATATCAGAGCTTGCTATCACGACAAGACCCCACCAGATTATTATGCCATCTGCCATTGAGAGAAGTGTACGGAAACAGAATGTACAATTCATGCATAACCGAATGCAGTACAGTATGGAATATTTTCAGTTTATGAAAAAACTGCTTACGTGTAATGGTGTCTACTTAAATCCTCCTCCAGGTAAGTGTCAGGAATTTAGCTTCTTAGTAATAAAGTGTACTTTTTAATAATACTTGCAGGATTTCTTAACAGGTATCAACATGTTTGTTTCTTTCTCCTTTTTGGTTGTTTTAAAGTCATATTTCAGATGATTTACCTTTGAGCGGTATATAGTGTCTTGCTGTTTAGAAACAGAGGAGCTTTTGTTTGATACAACAGTTCGTTTTTTACTCAAGCGTTAGTTTGAGGTGTGCTTTAGTGAATAAGAATTATTTCATAAGTAGCCTAAGAGGGATTTTAATAAAGTTACAACTTATGAAAATTAGTGGAAATGCAGACTTGTTTGAAAATGAAAGTGAGGCTTGAACTTAGAAATTTGTTTGACTTTTGGGTTTTTTTTAAATATATGCATTTTATAAGGGGGAGGGTAGTTCTCAGTGGTGGAGTGTATGCTTAGCGTGCAAAAGGTACTGGGTTCAATCCCCAGTACCTCCATTTAAAAAGATAAAAATAAATAAATGTTAATATCTGCATTTTATTTATAGGGCAAGATCACCTGTTGCCTGAAGCAGAAGAAATCACTATGATTAGTATTCAGCTTGCTGCTAGGTTTCTCTTTACCACAGGATTTCACACCAAGAAAATAGTCCGTGGCTCTGCCAGTGATTGGTAAATTGCTTTGGATTTTCATTACAATTATACTAGCATTTAGTTTGGTTCTCGAATATGCCGCTTTATTTTTTTTTCAAGCCATGATAGTCTTGTTTCATATTTGTAATGCAGAATAAAAAAACTCTTGGTAGCAATAGTGTGAGAAATCATACGTAAATAATTACTAAGACTTTAAACATGGCCCATGCTTCTGTTATTCTGGCTTGTTTCTCTTATTATATCGTATCTTTGATGTCTCTGTACAAAAGGGATTATTTAAAAGTCTGAGCTTATTTAATGAAGAAATTATTACATTTTAGCTTCCCTAGATTATATTCTACCATAGATTAAAAAGGTGTAAAATTAAAATGAGTTTTCTAAGTTTCTAATTGTGAAAATATAGAGGCCATTTAATACCTTGTTTTAACAATTTTTACTTACTCATCTAGTAATAAGATGTTAAGGGAAAGGGGGATGATTTATTATTCTGTCATTGATAACCAGGAAGAGTTTGGTTATAGAGGACTATATAAGTTTTCATCTATTTTGTGACTCTGTAAGAATAGACCACATCATAGTATTCATCAGTCATTTTAATATTAGTACTGGAAGCTACCATTGCTGGTTCTCTCCCTCCAGTAGTAAAAGTTCTTTAGTTTTTATTTGGTTCATAGTGACCTAACCCTGTACTATAAGAAGCATGTTACTAAATTGATGTTCATAGATTTTTTTTTTTTTGGTTTCATCTTAGGTATGATGCATTATGTATTCTCCTTCGTCACAGCAAGAATGTACGTTTTTGGTTTGCTCATAATGTCCTTTTTAATGTTTCAAATCGCTTCTCTGAATACCTTCTGGAGTGTCCTAGTGCAGAAGTGAGGGGTGCATTTGCAAAACTTATAGTTTTTATTGCACATTTTTCTTTGCAAGATGGACCATGTCCTTCACCTTTCGCATCTCCAGGACCTTCTAGTCAGGTAATTGCCCAGTTTTTTTTCTAATGATTAAATGCTTACAAATAAATTCTATATCTTGGAAGTTGAAGTCACAAATATATGTGCCTCTGTTTTGTATGTTTACCTAACAAATGTGTGTGTGCTCAAGCACACACACCATAGTCCAATACCTCTGAGTTCCATTAAAAGTACTTCACAGCAATGAGTAGTGATGATTGGCTCTTTAAAACATAATGGAATTGTCTGTTAATTCAGCTACATGCAGTAGCTTAATTATGCACTTACTATTATATAGATTATATATAAAGTTAGACAGACTTCAGGTTTGTTTTTTTTTTTAAACTTAGAACAGTATGAAGCCTCTATAATGAAATGTACGGCAGATCTTCGTCCCCTTTCCTAACAGGCAACCCCTTTCATTGTGGCTTGTGTGATCATTCCTTCCAGAAATTTCTGCCTGTATTTAACATACATGTGCATGCCCCATTTTTATGCAAATAGAATTTATGTTGTACCTGTACCTTGTTGCTGAAAAACAACCAATGTTTTATCCTTCACAGGCTTATGACAACTTAAGCTTGAGTGATCATTTACTAAGAGCAGTACTAAATCTCTTGAGAAGAGAAGTTTCAGAGCATGGGCGTCATTTACAGCAGTATTTCAACCTGTTTGTAATGTATGCTAATTTAGGTAAGAATTTAAGTTTTCATAATTGTTTTTAATGTGTTGCGGTAAGTGATGAAATCATTTAAGTCAAGTGATGAAATAAAACCTGGTCTAAAATAGAAACAATATTCCATAAAACCTATTGTGAATTTTATCTGAAACTTTTTTTCCTGCAGTTTTTACTTTGTACTTTATAGTTATTTATGCATGTGTCTTATCTCTGCAGTAGTCACAGGTCAGAATCTGTATCTTAATCATATTCTTATCTCCTAAAGTGGTGACATTAGACCTGTCTAGTTTTTGAAAATACTGATTCCTAGGCCACATCCCACACCAGCTGAATCCAAATTCTCAAAGCTATCACAAGGAATCCACATTTTCAAAAGGTCCTCAGATTATTGCAATACACAGCAGCTTTGGGTAAAGGACTTAATCTGTATGTAACTTTTGTCAAAGTAAACTAAACTAAAATTGGGAAAATATTCATTTAAATTACCCTATTATTTATGTTAAGTTCTATACCCAAACATCCTTGTCATTCCAGGTTTTTTTGTGTGTAAATCTACTAATCACTAATTGACCCGTGGCCCTTTTAACATAAGCAACATTCTGCTTTGTTTTGTCATCTCTTCCCTTACCTTTCCATAAGGGAGAGGCTTGTATATTTGTAGTTGAGAAGGAAGAGAATTTTTTTTATACAAACAAGCATAAGTGGAATCCATATTTCACACTTATAAATGCCTGAAATATGGTATTTCTAAAAATCCTAATCTGTTCAGCTCCCTTTTTAGGTATTCCCTGTTCACAAAGCATGCATCATTGGTCCATAATGTCATCTAATTAAAATTTCCCTGGTAAAGCAAATACGGGTCTATAAACTTTAAAATGAAATCCTTAGGACCACATATTCTTTGAGGTTCAGAATTGTTTGGATTTAAGAAAGGTAAAGTAGTGCATATACAATACGTTATGTAACGTCCCTATAACAGGGTCCAAAATAGCACCTTAAAATCATACATGTTAATGTTTCTACAGTAAAACATGAATATTCACACTGAGAGGGGATGAATGAAGACTAAATAGTTCAGGCCAGATTTTCACACCAACTTTATGAAAGAACTTTATTTACACTTATGATAAGAGCTGTTTGACTCTCCGGATTTCAGATAAAGGATTGTGGACCTGTGTTTATTATACTTCTTGGAACATGATAATAAATAAGACATCTACTTTCTAATGGGGTATCAAAGCAAATTAATTATTTTACTAGCTGTAAAATATATTCATGGCTAAAATGGGGAAAATATGAAGTGCAATGGAAGTACATCATAGGGGTACCTGACCAGATTTGCAGAGTGTAGGGGACTTACTGGGAAAGTTGATGTGGGAATTGGTTGAGTTTTCCATCCAGAGTGAACAGCAGGTGCAAAGACTTGGAATAAACTCAGCATGGCTCATTGGAGGAAATGAAAGTTAGTCTGACTAGAATTGATGCAATATGGCAATGGCGGGAGTGGTAAGCAGGATTTTCTAATCATGCTATTCTGGCAAGTCTTGTGAGAGATTCTAGACTTTGTCCTGAGGGCACTGATGAGCCATTGTAGAGTTTTGAATAGACATGGCTTCTAGAAAGATCACCCTGGCTACAGTATGGAATGGATCACAGGAGAGTAAGACTAGAGATTGTTAAAATAACCTATAGGTAGAAAATTGTTGTGGCCTGTACTGGGGAACTGGCAGTGAGGGGGTTATGAGTAGACAGATTCTGGTCCTTTTTATTAGAGATAGGGCCAGTAGGATTTGGTGATTGGATATTCAAAAGAGGTGTTAAGAATTCCGGCTTGACAAAGAGCAGGTAGTGGTGCCATGTACTGAGAGGAGGGGGGAACTTAGGAGGAAGAACATGGACAGGGAATTTGAGTCTTTGTGACACCCAAATTAAGATGTGCGGTAGAACGGTGATCTGTTTGGAAATATTTGGGAATCAGCTAAATGAAGGTAGCTGGCACTTGAAGCCACTAGAGTGAGTTTTGATCATCCAGGGAAGGCCATACAGTGCAAAAAGACATTGGAAATTTGAGGAGCATCAATTTTTTGAGAGACGGGAAGGAGGACTCACAAAGAAGAGTAAGGAGAAGAGGCAAAAAGAAAATGAGAGGAATCCAAGGAGAAGGAAGTGGTTATGGCATGAAAACTGTTCCTTAGCTTTAAACCAGAAAAGGGGGCAGAAACCAAATAGGCATGGGTTGAGGAGTGGGAAAATGAGAAAGTAGAGAGAACAAATTGACAAGAAGCTTGGCTGAGGAAGAAAGAAAGGCAGTTTATAAAAGAATTCTCACTTAGTTTTCATTATTCACCTAATGATGGGGGTTGCAGTCTAGGCTAGGCCCCTCGACTCCCCAGGCTGTAGAATGTTTATCTTGTTTGTGCCCAGTATGATTGGAATGTCATGGGTCTTCGTTTAACCATTTTGATACTTAAATCCAATTACACTAACTCAGTAGATTTTCGGTTCTGGTTAAATAATACTCTGAATGCTAAGTAAAAGTGATCTTCTGATTATAAAATTACAGGAAAATATTTTAGATAACTATTATGAAGCTCTTCCATCCTAATTCTTCCCTCATAGAATTCTTTTTCTCTCTTCCTACTTCTCCATTCTTTATCATAGGTGTGGCGGAGAAGACACAGCTTCTGAAGTTGAGTGTACCTGCTACCTTTATGCTTGTGTCTTTAGATGAAGGTCCAGGCCCTCCAATCAAATATCAGTATGCTGAATTAGGCAAATTATACTCAGTAGTATCACAGCTAATCCGCTGTTGCAATGTCTCATCAAGAATGCAGTCTTCAATCAATGGTAAAGTCAGATGCTCCATTCTTTACATTGGTTTTAAAATACTGTTGGGCATAGATAGTACCTGATTAAAAGTAATTCTGAAGATGTTTAAATATAAAACAAGAGTCTGAAGGCCCATGCTTTGGAATATTTTATAATTTTTGAGTCCTGCACCTTTTATACATGTTTAAAGGAAATCTTTGTCTACTTGCTACTGAGGTTGGTACCTTGCTTATGAAATGATGTAAGAATTAACTTTACCATTAAAGAAAATGCCAGTGTTGGCATTTAAATTTTACATTTTATCACCTTGATATAACTGATCATTATAGTGCTTAATATTACTTTTTGTTGTACTCAGGAAACTTGATTTAAAATACTATTTTCATAAAAAAATCCATAAGCTATTTTCTATGGTGAAAGCTCTGTATTATTGTGGAGAAGCCTATTAGTTTTTCATTGATGACAAATCTGTATTCTAGGTAATCCTCCTCTTCCCAATCCTTTTGGTGATCCTAATTTATCACAACCTATAATGCCAATTCAGCAGAATGTGGCAGACATTTTATTTGTGAGGACAAGTTATGTGAAGAAAATCATTGAGGACTGCAGTAACTCAGAGGAAACCGTCAAATTACTTCGTTTTTGCTGCTGGGAGAATCCTCAGTTCTCATCTACTGTCCTCAGTGAACTTCTGTGGCAGGTTAAAGGAAAATAAATATTCATATGCTTTATAATTTGATTTGTTTTTTTTTATTTTTTTAAATAGAGGGGTTTTTTTAACATAATTAATTGGCTTTACAGTATTATATTAGTTTCAGGTGTGCAACATAGTGATTTTGATATTTTTATACATTACACATTACAAAATGATCACCACTGTTACGGCTTTAAATACATTATTCACCACGTCTTACCTGTTTTTAGGTTGCATACTCCTACACTTATGAACTCCGGCCCTATTTGGACCTGCTTTTGCAGATCTTACTAATTGAGGACTCTTGGCAGACTCACAGGTAGATATTCTTTTTCTCTTACTTGCCAAACTTTTAGAGTAACTGAAATTGCCAGTCAGCATATATTATTTGCCTCTTGGAAATCTAATAAATATTTTATCTTAAAAACTTAAGAATGAATAAAAGGGTCCCCTTCCCTCACAATTTTACTTCCATTTTTTTTTTTCCTCTCATTGCCCAAGTTGCATACTTAAATATACTAACTTTTGTCTTTCAGTTGGTGGTGTGTTTTTTGTTTGCGGAGGTGGGGTGGGGTGTTGGTAAATGTTTTAATTTTATTAATGATGCTGTAGGGTTACTTTAGGATTAGATTACATTAGTTTTAGAATTAATCACATGATAACATTTGGTTATCTAAAAATAGTCCTTTAGGTAAGTACAGTCAGTTCCCATTGTTCACGGTAGTCCCTGGGCTAAAAGCCACTGTGAACACTGAGCAAATACTAAGCCGTCGCTCCTGGGGAAAGTACACGGTTAGGTTCCTGCAGGCCTCTGGTTACATTTTTGTCAACCAGTCAATACATAACCTTCTTTTAATGTGTGTTTGTTTAAAGATACCTTATTTAATATATGTTGCTAACTCGTTAACATTGAATTCATGATAAATCATGTCCAAACAAAGCTTATCTAACATGTATTTTCTCTGCAAAGCACATCACAGCCTTCTTGGGCTTAAGAACACTAGGACAGCACTTTAGCACTACACATTTAAGGCCCTTTTTAAACAGTGAAATCAATTTTAAAAGTACAAAAATGTGGAAACAGTGTCACTAAGATAGTGAGGAAAAAGGATACTTGTTTACAGTATGAGCTAAAACAAGGCAGATAATCACTTTGTTCCACTGCAGATGGGAATGTGTTAGGCAACTCAGATTTTTTTTTTTTTGCCACTCCACACATGACTGCAGAAGCACTGCAAGAGTTAATAAATGAAACACAAAATTTGGTAGTTTGGAAACTATAGCTGTTTATTTTGAACAAAGGATTTAAAACTTTTCTTAAAAGTTGGTTTTAGGGGAGGGTAGAGCTCAGTGGTAGAGTGCATGCTTAGCATGCATGAGGTCCTGGGTTCAATCCCCAGTACCCCCAATAAACCTAATTACCCCCCCGCCCCCAAAAAATTTAGTTTTAATAAAATCAAACTTTTCACTATTTTAAAAATATTATAAGCAGTTACAGCTTTAAACCAATTAGCCATATCTTAGCTCTCGTTTCATTAGAGCCAGTGATAATGGCAAAGGCACATGTGCTGGATTAAACGTGGGAATTTGACTTTTGTGTAATGATATTAGTAAGGTATTGCGGTTATGAGTCACTGGCCCCGGGCTTGAAAATAACTTTCTCATAGTGGGCTTTTAGTTCCTTCAGTAAACAGTGCAGGAATGTTTATGGAGCCTCTCCCATGTGCCTGGCACTGTTAGGCATTGGGAAACAAAGGAGGCAAAAATATATATTGACATTTTAAATTAAAAAGATTAAAAGTGGTGTTTGAAAGCAGTTAATACTAATGGGAAGAGAACGTGACAGAAATAATGGCTTAGCACCTTATTATCACTAGACAAAACTGAAGGTCAAAACAATATACACTACAGTGTTTGAGATTAAACAGCAGGAGGCCTGTAGATGGTTGGTTGGTCTGAAATGATTAAACTTTGTAAAATTGCAAAGTCATGATTTCCAAAGAAGAGAGATTTTATGAATACGTATAATACTAAAAGCAAACTTGCATTTTGATTTTGGAACATTCTGTGAAGTAAAATATATGGCATATAAAAGATTTTTTAATTTTTATTTGGGGGGATGGGTAGTTAAGTTTATTTATTTTTAGAGGAGTACTGGGAATTGAACCCAGGACCTTGTGCATGCTAAGCATGTGCTCTAACACTTGAGCTGTACCCTGCCCCCCAAAAGATTTTTTTTAATTGCTGACTATACAGGTAATTTTCTTTATTGTGGTAAAAAAAAATCACTTAACGTAAGATTCACTATTTTAACCATTTTAAAGTGTACAGTTTCAGTGACTTCTAGTACATTCACAGTGTTCTGCAACCATTACCACTGTCTAATTCCAGAACATTTTCATCACCCTAAAGGAAAACCCCAAACCCAGTTAAGCAGTCACTGCCTATTTCCCCAACCCGCATCCCCTGGCAAGCACTAATCTGCTTTCTGCTCTGTAGATTTGTCTGTTCCTAGTCAAAATGGCCAGGATTTGCCTGGACATTTCATATACATGGAATCATACCTTTTGTATCTGGCTTCTTCCACTTGGCATAATGTTTTCAAATTCATCCATGTTAGAGTACCTATCAGTACTTCATTCCTTTTTATGGCTTAATATATTCCTTTGTCTGGCTAGATCGCATTTTGTTTATTCATTCATCTGTTGGTGGATATTTGTATTGTTTCCACCTTTTGGCTATTGTGAATAATGCTGTTGTGAACATTTCGTGTACAAGTTTTGTTTTTTTTTTTAACACCTGTTTTCAATTCTCTTGGATATCTACCTCGGAGTAGAATTGCAGGCAGGTAAATTTAAAAACAATTTTTTTTTAGTTGTAAAATATTCATAACAAAATTTACCATTTTTAAGTGTACAATTTGGTGAAATTAAGTATATTCACAATGTTGTGTTACCATCACCTCTATCCATCTCCAGAACTTTTTCATCATTCCAAACTGAAGCTCTGTACCCATTATTCTTGCTTTCTCTGTGCCTATTGTAAGTACCCCATATAAGTGGAATTATACAATATTTGTCATTTTGGATTGGTAATAAGTTGGTAAGAGCATAGACTGATAGGTGGTTATATAACCTTGGACAAGCAAGCCATTTAACACTGCCTATTTTTGTCATCTGTTCAAGGGTTTAATAAGAGTACTTACTGTCTAGCTTTAGATTACATGACTACATCAAAGACATTTATTGAATGGCGCATAGTAGGCACTCAATAAATGTTAGCTGCTATTTGATTTTTGAAGTTTTTATTTTATATCTGGTTCTTTTTCAGAATTCATAATGCACTTAAAGGAATCCCAGATGACCGAGATGGGCTGTTTGACACAATCCAGCGCTCTAAGAATCATTATCAAAAAAGAGCATACCAGTGTATAAAATGTATGGTAGCTCTCTTTAGCAACTGTCCTGTTGCCTACCAGATTCTGCAGGTGAGGGAGGGTTTCTCATATATGTATATATAATTTTCTAGAAATCTGAATCAGAATTAAGTATTCTGTTTTAAAAGAAGAGAATTGGGAGAATTGGGAGTTTTCGTTTTAAGTTAATTTTGAAAAGCATTCTGAAACCTTTTACATGTGTAGTTTTATTTTGTTTTGAAGGGCAACGGAGATCTTAAAAGAAAATGGACCTGGGCAGTGGAATGGCTTGGAGATGAACTCGAAAGACGACCATACACTGGCAATCCTCAATACACTTACAACAATTGGTCTCCTCCAGTGCAAAGCAATGAAACATCAAATGGTTATTTCTTGGAGAGATCACATAGTGCTAGGATGACACTTGCAAAAGCTTGTGAACTCTGTCCAGAGGAGGTAAAAAAAGCCACCAGTGTGCAGCAGATAGAAATGGAAGAAAGCAAAGTAATTCTTTACTTTATAGGCCAGTGTTTATGTATTAATGATAATGAAAAGAAAATTACATTGACGTTTTGTTTGCTTTAATGTTTACTATATGTGGTCTTAAGTTAATGAGGAAAATCTTTTAGAGAAATTTCTGTGAAATTGTCTGAAATCTGGTATTTCTAAGAGAACCCAATTAGGTTTTTTTTCAGTTGCTTTGTTGATCTGCAGTAAAAGAAAGGTTGTTAGTGGGTCAGTTTTTTTAGATATTAAAGATTTTATTTCAAATAGAAAAAAATAAACTTGAATTTGCCTACATAAAATTCTTTATCTTTAAATATTTAAAATTAGGAGCCAGATGACCAGGATGCCCCAGACGAGCATGAGTCGCCTCCACCTGAAGATGCCCCATTATACCCCCATTCACCTGGATCTCAATATCAGCAGGTACATAGGAGTTGGTTAGTGTTTATTCGCCTAGAATCACTTTTCATGCTTTATTTAAAGGATGGCTATGTTTTTTCTTGGGACTGTAAAGTAATAGAGAGGTTATCTAGACTAGCTTTACAGAAATGATCAAAAGAGGAGTGGTTGGAAAGGGGTCACAATGTGGCATGCTGGAACTTGCCCCTATGGTGTTTTCTTGGTTCAGATATATGCCCCTGTTGTGCTAATAGATAAAGTTAATAAAACTGATAATTCATGTCAATATAAAATGATAATATTTAGTACAATGGATTATGACATTTCCTGTTAGGCTAAGTCTACAGATGGATTCTGAAGACATTAAAATTTGGTAATGAAGGACGAAGTTTTTGCTTCCTTAGCCTAACCAATACTTCAGTGACAGTAAAAGTTACTGGAAAAAATCAGGGACTTGACAGGTTTCTGTAAAATTTCCTATAAAATCAGTAACTAAATTTAGATGAAGAATCCTTCTAAATGAGTTCTCCTTCTAAAACCCAGATGTGACTAATAATTTAGATCTTTTGAGGCAGTGGGACTCAAACTTGAACAAACATCAGACTACCCCAGTGGGCTTGTTATATATAGCAAAGTGCTGGGCCACACCCAAGTTTCTGATTCACTAGGTCTGGGGTGGGGCCCAGAAAATGTACATTTCTAATGAGTTCCCAGGTGATGCCGCTGTGTTGGACTGGGAACCACTCTGTCAGAACCATTACTTAAGGCATTCTTTCTTACATTTCAAAGTAGAAATAGAAGCATGCTGAATAGTTAGAAAATGCATATTCAACATATTTGTTTTCATAATATAAAATATGAAAGTAAAGCCTAAAATCTTACTGGCTTGGTGGGAATGTACAGAAAAATGACAGCTCAGGAACCAAATCCACAAGGAGAAATGTTACTTTCCTCAGCCCTGAGAAAGCTCATAGATTAATCATGCCTAGTTAATAATCCATTATCTTCTACGTTGTTTTGTTTTCATTGACGCCATTCTGTATTCAGGGTTTGTTGCTCGTGTGGATCTCATATGATCATCAATCATATTTATCATATAGAAGTTTCACAGTGCTTAGAAGACTGAGAATAGATGTGTTCTAACTCACAAGTCAGTTTTTGTGAATTTTTTTTCTTTTTTTTTTTACCATGAGCAGAAATGGTCTGTGTTATCCTTTATTTGTCAGACTTGGGTCTGAATAATTTGGGGCACTTAAAAATCACTTTGGCCAAAGAATCAAACAGACCTACACTGCTCTTACCTGGGGCTTTCGAGTTTGCATTTAGGCTACATTTTCTCTTTCAAACCAATTTTTTTCCCCAGCATTATTTACTCTTTGTCAGTTTCAGGAATAAAAGAAATGCTTATTTCCACAAACTTCAGCCTGTGATTTTAAAGTTGAAGTTGAACACATGAAAAGTTTTAACATGCAGATCTCTTCTCCCTTCCCAGAATAACCATGTGCACGGACAGCCGTATACAGGCCCTGCAGCGCATCACATGAACAACCCTCAGAGAACTGGCCAACGAGCACAAGACAATTATGAAGGCAGTGAAGAAGTAGCCCCACCTCAGACAAAGGATCAGTGAAATGCACATGATTAACTGGTTCCATCAAGACTGTGCACCCAGGCCTTACAGTCCAACCTTTTTCTGTGTCTGGCTAATATTTAAAACTAGAAAAACTATTCCTAATCAACATGGAGTGGAGAGTTTATTCACTGTCTTACCTGCAGAAATTTGCTGTCAATATATAACCCGCCTGCAGTGGAAAGTGTATAGTGTTTTGTAATAAATGGCCTGATGCTAATGTGTAAATGGCAAAGGTGTATATAGTATATTAATGTTTGACTGTTAATTCTTAAGCAAGAAACTTTTTTCTTGACGAGACTCACAGATCTACAAAAACTACAAAAGGTAATTCTCTTGTTATACCCATTGCACTCTGCAACCAGTGTTGCCTGCCTCACGGCAGTTGGATCAACTCCTTTACAAAAACAAAAAATAAGTCAACAGCGACAAAACAGAGCCCATCCATGTCAGCCACACCAATAGTTTCATGTTAATTCTTTGCCACTGGAGTCAGTTTTGTTATGAGCAATGTAAGGCTGGTGACCTTTAAATTATTTGGTTGATATGGAAAATTGGTGATGTAACATTGTTTCTAGAACTTTTTCATTGCCTTTTTATTCTGATGTTAGGTTAATCACTTTGAAGCTATAGTTATGCTGTAACATTTAGCATGGCTTCACACCAGGTTAGTGTAGCCAATGAGGAAAAAATTACCATAATGACAGCAGTTGTCCCAGTGTGACAGCTGTTATTGCTCAGAGCTTTTCCTTCTTACACCTAGAATATAAAATATAAAACAAGGGGAGAAATGTGATAAACAGGTGGTTTTCAGTTATACATATGTTGCTTACATTTAATGTTTGACAGTTCAATCTCTGGGTGGGATAAAGAAACTTAAGTATCAGTAACGGAAATTTTAAAAGATTTAAAAACAAATATGCAAAAATTTGCTATGCCAGGATGCTTGGAGCATAATAGAAGACTGTATTTGGTGTGCTTGTTTTGTTTCTTTGGTAGAGCTTCCTAGGTGAATCTTCTAAAACTTTCCTTCCGCTGGACCCCAGAGAAGTGGAAGTTGTCAGAACCCCACAAGTACTTGGAGTGCCGCTGCGCCGCCATGTCTGGCTGAGCTGCTTGGTCAGCTTTACTTGAAAGCAAGAATTGTCCTAGCTCCTTTTCCATTATTCCAAAACTTTTATCGTTTGAAAAGCAGGGTCTAATTAAAAAGGAAACTACTGGTTAGTTAATACAGTTGAGGTATCATAATTTCAGAATAAACATTGAATTAAAGATAAGGAATTCATCAGTTAATACTGTATTTAAAAGAGAATTGGTAACTTGAATGTGTGTAATTTTTTTTGGAAACTGTCTAAAAACCAAATATCCCTGCAAACAGATACAGTCCACCCTATTCTATTTAAATATTTTGCTGTTTTATTTTATAGAAATTATTTTGCTGAATTCACAAATAGAATTTGATTTAAGAAGAACTTTTTGTCCTGTGGTGTGTTTTGGGTTTTTTTGTTTCTTGGTTTTTTTGGTTACTTTTTTGTCCTTTTTTTTTTTTTAAGGACTGCATATTAAAATTAATTCTGTGCACAACATGCCTAGGCATGGCACTGAATTCAGGAGTTCAGTCACTTTGAGTTTTTGTGCACAGAAGGATTTGACCTTTGGCCCTTTACTAAAGATTTAGAGAAAAACAGGATGTTGACACTGTAAAAGTTTCCTAACATAATCAATCTTGTACTTTTTGTATGTTTTTTATATACATGTATATTTAATGAGCACAAGCTTGGTTGTATTTTTTACAATTCAGTTAACAGGAAAATGTTTTGTCAAAAAGGCTATAGTTGGAATTGAACAAAGCAGAAACAAAATTGGGAACTGAGTTATTTTGTGACTAAAAGGGGGCAGGTATTTAAGATAAAGCTTTGGGTGTCTTTATTTGCAGTACTCTGTAGTCAATCTGTGCTTCTAGGTTTTCTGTAATATTAGGAAATTTTGACACCAGATAGATCCTGTTTTTACCTTAAGTATATTACATCTGAATTTGTTAAGTGTTAGCGAAAGTCATACTGTCTGCAATTCCAATTGGTAATTTTGATTTAAAAGTTCCTCGATTCCAAGCTTCCTTAATGAGCAAAATAGATTAAATTTATTTGGACAAGTTGCTATTAAATATACCATCTCACCTTCTGAGGTGATTTTTGTATTTTCTGCTCCTTAACAAAAGTATGTAACATACTTAATTTAAAAACTAATGACTTCCTAGACATGAAAAACTTGACATTTTAAAAGGCTGTGAATTTTTCTCCTTGGAGGGAGATCCCACCTTGGTTGCTTTGAATTTACAAGTCCCCAGTGCCAGGTGAGGAGGGCTTGTGAATCCTTTCCCCCTCCGGTTGAGGAAGTGGTCTGATGTGACCAGGATCTAGGGAAAGTGAATGGAGAGAGTTATTTTTGTTTGTTTGTTTGTTTGTGCAAATTATTTTCTATATTTAACTCTTAAGCAAGCATTAATGTATAACCGAAAATTTTAAGATGCATGTTATTGTAAGAGCAACATAGTGGTGATTTTGAGGTCTTTTTCTGAACATAAATGGCACATTTTAAACTTCAAGTCTTCAAAGTGCCTAAAGATTATTTAATTCTCCCTCAACTGATTTCTTGAGCCATATATATATTTCCTACTTTAACTGTTTGTTGCAGAATCACTAGTCTTCCTTTCAAAGAGGAACCCCCCAGAATTCTAAATGGCATGATTTCTTTATAGAAGACAGTAGAATGTGTTAACATAAAGACTGAAGATATTTTTGTTGTTAATCTGTGTGAACAAGGGCTCTGCCCTATTGGATCTTAAGTATTTCAGTGCACAACTTGGTTCAAAAAAACAAACCACATTGCTGCTGTTTCAAAGCCCTCCGCCAACCAAATTTTCACTTTCAGCATTGTAGAGGCAGAAACAAGAACATAATCAGATTTGGGGTTTCTGTCTTTCGTTGATTTTCTCTCAATGATAACTTCCCAACTTGTCTCTCTTAGCTGTTATGTATACAAATTTAGAATTATTAAAATGTTTTATATTTTTTTCATGATTAACTTTTATTAGTGAGTGAGAACAACTTAATTATTTAATCCTAATAGTGATTTAAAAAGATGAGGAGCCTTTTTTATTTGAATTAACATTTGTAAATGAATGCAACGGTCTGTGAATATTCAGATGACCACCCCGAAACAGTTCCTTTCAGTTTTCTCTTAGTGTTTTTCCAGCACATGTTCCCCCATGAACTCTTCGCTGAATTTAGTAGTTAATTTGGTGGATATATCCTGCCTTATTTAGAATTATAACTGGATAAGAGAATTGCCTTTTCATTATAAGTGCCCAGTTTTGGTCTCTAGTTTGAAGGTACTACATACATACTGCCGAGAAAGGAAAACGCCACTCCCCTTCTCCCAGGTTTTATGTTACTGAGGAAAAAACCCATTCAGTACTGGTTTCTTTGTAGTGGGGCTCAACCAAACTTGGTCCTGCACCTATGTGAGTGTTTAGTGTTTGAAAATAAGGTTTTGGGTGTGATAAGTCACTACAGAAGTGCTAAATGTATTAAGAACTTGCTGCCGACTGTGTTTATGATGATTATTTTACGTTTGTAGAAATGTAGCCCTTTTCCTCCAAACTTAAAGGTGTAAGCAAACGGGGGGAAGGTGCACCATGTTTTAAATTTGGAAATGAATGAATTTTTTCATTTTGAAATTCAGATTCCCAAAAGGAAATTTCACCACCCAGATCATATATTTCTCAGCCTTTTACAAGCCAACAGACTGACTGAAGATTGTCCACAGTTCCTAAGATTTAGCACATATACAAAAATAAAACTTTATAAATTAAATTTCGGTTTTCCCTTTTATTTATTAAGATAAGGTTTCTAAACGGAAGGTAAAATAGAGGTGTAATAGATTTAAAGGAAACTTTAAAAGGGAAATGTTTGCAAGTAGAGGAATTTGGCCCTCTTTTTGTATATTCACATCTGAGCCATTCAAAACTGGAATTGTGACCTAATTGCTGATTTGATGGTTCATTCTCAGACCAAGATTTGGCAAACAAACACTTTTGGTGTTTCAGAATTCATTTAAATCAGAAACAAAGCAGATCACATATCTGAGGGGAGTTCTAGAAGTGAAAATTTATTTAATTCTCTAGGAAATTCCATCTGCTCTGCTTTTTAAATCAGAAAAGTTTGTTGCCATGTTCCAAAGAAATGTGACTTCCTTAGAAACCTGTTGATGCTTCCCTGAAGTTCAGTTACTCCAAGGATTACTGCCTGAGAGACATATCCCTGATTTTCAGCAGATTGTTTTCTAAAAATAGAACCAGAAGATTAATAAACTCGTGTTCTGCAGTTTGGAAAACTCCAGTCACGTTAAACCTTTTGAATTTTAAAATCCAAAGTATTTTTACCTACTTCATGAACACACCTAACTGAATGAAAATATATATAGACACCAATATTTTGAAGTGCTTCATTGTAATTTACAGGTAGGTAAAAAACTGACAGGTTTTTGTCTCTACGTCAATGTTTAAAGTTGAGGTTACATAAAAGGTTTTAGTAACATTTTCTTTAGAATGTAAAGTCTCAAGGGAAATGTTCTTAAACCACACTAAAGCTTTGTTCCACAAAACAACAGACCCACAGAAAAATCAGTTGGTTATTTTGAAGGCATTCTACTTAAGTGTACAGAAGAATAAAATGGGAATACTTGCTGTCATCCGAAAACAGATGGGGTCATCTCATACTCCAGCAACATTAGGATATACTGCATTTCATCAAAGATGCAAGATCACTCACTTCCAGGGATGTCAAAATGTGGGGCATCCCATTTGGTAGTAATCCATGTCATGGCAAATGCCTTTTTTACATCTAGAAATAGAAGTTTTTCCTTTCAATGGGCTTTTCTCGAGTTGTTTATTTTTCTATTAACCTACTGAAACAGAAACCCTATTTTTATGTGTAATTCTTGGCAGAAGTGGCCAGTTTACAAGTTTATGAAGAAAATGCTTGATGGAGCTGAACCTTTTGAGGAGTCAACACTGCCTTGTATTAGCAGTCTTCTGAGACAGTTGTGTTGTGGCCTCCAGTTCCCTTTTCATGCACATGACAATTGAGACGCCAGGCCGACTTTCTGGCTGCCCCCAATATCCATCAGCTGCCCTTCCTTGAATGCCTTCCCTTTGTCTCCCTCCCGCCCCAAAGGGAGCCTAGTGGGGGCCACCCTGCAAGGTAGAATTCTATTCATTTCTTTCTCTTCAATGGTATAGATGTAAAAGGAGTCAAAATGGATGCTTTGGACGCTGGGAGTTTTTCCTTGAGTCCCTTGGAGGGATTCACTTGCAGAAGGATTCAAAAGTGGATTCTTAACAGTTCTCATCTAATTCTTCCCCACCCATTAGTGCACCTTCTTTGGAATTCAGAAGTAAAGATAACTTGGGGTCTTAAATCTGGTGCTTTAGGTGGGACCAGGAGAAGGAAGTGTTCAGAATGAAGGTTCAGAACCTCCTTCCCCTCAGACCTGCCTGAATACTGCCTGCACAGCGGCTCTTAGCGAGGGACAGCATCTGCAGGGTGCCAAGGAAACAGGTCAGCACTGCGGGCTCAGAGTGTGTTGAGCAAAAGCCCTTCACAATCCATTTTCCTAAGGTCTCTGCGTTTAGGAGGTGTCCCGGAAGGGTTCTTGGTGTGAATGACTGTGTTCTGTTGGGTGTATAGGAAAACAGATTTTAGAGGCTGTGTTTAAAATCAGAAAGCTAGATGGTGACTGCTTAAAGTTGGTGAGTATCTTCCCTTATTGAAAATATTAATCAGGAGTACCAGTAATTAGTTCTTTCAGCCATCTACTTTCAGACTGTCTTAAGCATTTAGTATAAAAACTTTCTTAGCAAAACAGGCCTCATGCAGATTCCCAAAAGGCTATGTTAAGCAGACCTTCCTTAGGATGTCTGACAAGGTCAAAGGCTAAGACCATGCATGTACTAAAGAGGTTTAAAAGCTAAAGCTATGAAGTCAGTTTTAAATACAAGCCCTATGGCCATCATTCAAAAGTCCACAAATGATAAACGCTGGAGAGGGTGTGGAGAAAAGGGAACCCTCCTACACAGTTGTTAGGAATGTAGTTTGGTGCAGCCATTATGGAAAACAGTATAGAGATTCCTCAAAAGACTAAAAGTAGACTTACCATATGATCCAGCAAGCCTCCTACTGGCCATGTATCCAGAGGGAACCTTAATTCAAAAAGATACATGCACCCCAATGTTCATAGCAGCATTGTTTACAATAGCCAAGACATGAAAACAACCTACATGGCCATCGACAGATGACTGGGTAAAGAAGCTGTGATATATTTATACAATGGAATACTACTCAGCCATAAAAAAGAATAAAATAATGCTATTTGCAGCAACATGGATGGACCTGGAGATTGTCATTCTAAG